TCTGGATTCACGTATTGAGTACATAGCCCCATATTTCAGCCATTGTTTCGATGCATACCACATCCTAGAGAATATCACTCCAGCCCCACAGGTGTTATCTCTGAGCTGGGACCTTAGCCAAGCTTTTAATAGGTCATTTCTTCCTTCTATAAGGTCAGATGCTTCTGAGAGATGCAGTACATAAAAAAGAAAAATGGATCTCATGATCATGAACACATTATTTCATTTCCTTAGCTATAAAATGGGATAATTTGGTCTGTAGCAGAATTGTGTGGGAACTCATGTCACTAAATCAGTCATTCTATAATTCTGCAGATGGTGGTGTTGGCATGAAAATTACTGAATAAATGAATGTTTCATCTGTTTATGACTGATATGGTCTGCTCAAATCTTTTCTTTATCCCATTCATTGCTTGAGACCATTCTGGCTTATTATGAGGAAATCCATTCTTTTCTTTTTGAAGTCTTTGCTCTATGTTCCCTGCTCCAACTCTTTAAGAACACTGGGGTCTTATTCAAAACCCAGGAAGTTAATCTGGCTGCCCCATGTCAAACTGAGGTTGCAAATTCCATCCTTCTCTGCTTCTAGATGCTACTTGATTTTTACTGCTGAATTCTGATCCTGCACTTCCCAGCTTTAATCTGGTGATTCTCTTGCTTGTCTAAACCTCTGTTGGCTTTGAAATGGTGTCTCAATATCACACTCCAAGCTTATTATTCTCTTAGCTTATTCTCATGTGGGTTAACATCACCACAGGGCTATAGGGTCATCGTACTTCTGGCCTTCACCACAGGCTGAGTAGGACTCATTGATATTTAGGCCCTTCTGCTGAGTGCTATGTCCTTCTGAAGATTTACTGTTGGAGATCCTCTATAGTCTCATTTAAATACCAAAGTCCTTCCTCAGTAATCATCTCTTCATCCTATGAGTTAAATTTATTTCTTCTAAGCTACATAGACAAAAATAAATCCAATAAACAAAAGAGAATAAAGATATAGGTCACTCGATGGTCACTTCCTGGGCAAGAACTCTCTCATCCTGGAGCCCAAAGTCATACCCTGTGGTGTTGGTAAAGATTCTGCAAATCCCATGGCTCCTGGAAATTCCTCTTACCTTGGTAATTTAATTTCAGATATTTGTTTATTTGGAGACAGCTGAAAAAACAAGCCCCATCAGACTTCCTTCTCTTGGGCAAGAAAGTGGTGCTGGTAACTGTAAAGAGGCAGAAACATGAGGGTTTGTGCACAGGCTGGAAATGTCCTTGTGAGGCTGTGGTTACACTGCTGGCACAGAGGTAAACAGCTGAGTCTCCCAGCTCTGTGAGCTGGATCTTCAGAGTGGAGAATGATCCATCAGGCCTTTCAGCTGAGAATCGATCCTTCAATATTTCAGACTTCTCTGAAAACTTTTGATTGTAGAAGGAAATCAGAAACTCCACTTTCTGCCCCAGGATTTGTCTATACCAATATAGGTATAAGTGACCAGAAATGGGGTCACAACTCAGGATCACTTCCTGTCCTATCTCTGTGACCTGGTGGCTTGGGGTCTGGCGAACTTCAGGTTCTGTGTGTCCTTTGGGAGGAGAAAGAAGCCAGAGATTGAATAGGGAAATGGATTTGAACTAACTGCCTTTAGGTAAGTCAGAGATAAGAATTTTCTGAGCCCCAAGAATTCACCTGATTCCAGGAGACTAAAAATCACCCAATATAGGAACCAGGTATCCATGACAGGGTCAAGGCAAGAATGAGGCCTCTCCTAGGTCAGGCTTCTGGTCATCAGAAACAGAGAGGAATGCTGAGCTCACATGATCCCACATAAGAGAGCTGATGGAGGCATTAGCCTTTCTGGCAACACCCACTGTCCCTAGAATGCCCTCTAGAGGAGAGAGGAAGGAGCCTTTATGTCAATGCACACCCACCCCAGGACACAGGGCTCTGGTTAGCACTTGGGGTCTGCTGGGATGTGCAGGACTGAGGACCACTACAAGGAGCAATGGGGGCAGATATGGAGTTCAGCAAAGACAGCTCCGAGTACAAAGTCCTGCTCTGAGATGTCAGGAGGCTGTCACTTCTTACTGCCTGTTGTGAGCAACAATCCACGGGCATCAGAATCTAATTATAAGGCAAGATCTGAAGACTTCAGGAATTAGAATCAAAGAGACAGAAGGAAAACAAATCCAGCCTGAAACTGTTATAGCTCAAGTGGAAGAGAAGCCAAAGAGGAACAGGGACACCGAACAAACAGTGAGGGAGAACCAGCGAACAGTGATCCAAACTGGATGAGGGGACTATCGTCCTCAGTGCGAAGAACAGACAGAGCACTCGGTGAGGGAAGGAGGTGTTTTGAAAAAGGTCTGCGTGTGTTTGGAGCTGGGATCAGGGCTGAGGTCCAGGGTCTAACTTGGACAGAAGAAGAAGTCAGAGAAAGGTACCTACAGGAAAGAGAAGTGTAGAACTGCTGTGGCCAGAGTGTAAACCGTCTCATGAAAGATTTCCCAGGGGCACAAGACAATTGGAAGATGCTTGGAACAACTTAAACTTGAACATGTCTGTCCTACTTTCACCCACAGGCACAGTCTTGTTCAAGACAAAGCCAGGCCACAGGCTGTTGGCATCTGTGCATGGAAATGATCCAGTGAATTGACAGCAGTATTATGGTCTGAGATTTCTGTCTAGGGCCCTACAGGAAATGTTGAACTGAGCCTTGGTTGCCCCACAGCTTCCTGGCTGGACCCAGGAGGTTTGTGCACAGGGAGAAAGTGACTCTGCAAGGCTGTGTCTTTGCTGCTGGTACAGAAATACACGGCAGAGTCTTCTGGCTCCAGGTCATCCATGTGAAGGTATAAGAGGGAGCTGTCTGGACATTCAGGTAAGAAGCGACTTGGAACACTCGCAGCGAGTTTCTTATAGCTGTAGACAAACATGAGTCCTAGTGGCTTCTGAGCACTCTGTTTATACCAATACATATAATCATATCCCAGATGTTGGTCACATTGCAAACACTTCTTATTTCTCATTCCCATGACCAAGTGTTTTGGGTTCTGAGTAATTCCACTGTCCATGGGGACTGTTGGAGGAAAGGGACAAAATTCAGACAAAGTCCAGAAGGAAGAGTTTGCTGCAGCCACGGAAAAATGACTTGAAGTTCAAGGGCAACCCATTTGAAGTCAAGACTCACCTGTTCCCAGGAGACAGAGGGCCACACAGCAGTGCAGCCTGCAGCCCATGGTGGAGTCAGGGCTGTGGCGGCCTGTCTAACTAGGATGCCCTGAGCAGGGGGCTGAGCTCTGGTCTCCTTAGTCATGGTTGTGAATTTGCCTGTGACATCACTGTCCTGACAGTTTCCCCAGGCTCTGGGAATATTTCTTCCTCCCCTTGGAATGTCTTACATAGATTCTAATAGAAGATGGATTTCAGTGACTAAGCTGGGATATTCCTCTGAGAGCTGCTCTTTTGCTATTAGGTGCCTTCTTCATTATATAGATTCTCCCTCTTTTCTCCTCCCTTCCAAGACCCCTTCTGAGCGACAGACCATTTCCCATTCAAAGGAGCTCCTTCCTCCTCTTTGTTACACAGGATAACATCATTCAACACATTGTTTCCCTCAGTGTCTAAGCTTGATAGAGCCCCTCTGCTCATCTGCATGGAGGGAGGAAGACTGGATGGTCGTGGTTCCATTCTAGACCAGTGTCCATAATTAAAAATGCATGACTGGGGCTGGCCGCGTGGCCTAGTGGTTAAGTTTGGCATGCCCTACTTCAGTGGCCCGGGATTTGGTTCCCAGGCTCAGACCTACATCGTTCACCAGAGGCCATGCTGTGGCGGTGACTCACATATAAAATAGAGGAAGACTGGCAAAGGATGTTAGCTCAGGGCAAATCTTCTTTAGCAAAAAAAAAAATAAAATAAAAAGCATGACTGTGATGTCAGCCAGGGGTCAAACACTGAGAAGAGTGCTGAGGGGATCATACAATGGATGAGCCGTTCTTTGCTCCTGTAGTTGAGGGTACAGAGCTTGGTTGGTCTTACAGCCAACAGGTTGCTGAAAGAGGACAACATGTTAAAAGATAAAACTCAATTGAGTAAATTTTAAAGACTTTATTGGCTTTATTCATCAATTCATAAATAGGGCAGCATCCAATCTAGCAGATAGAAATGAGGTCTGAGGATCTGTATAAAGTGAAAGACTTCTATAGGCAGAAGGGAGCAGGAAGGAGGAAGTTACACTAGCAAAACGTGGGTTGGTTTAGCAAGGTCACTTTCCTTTAGGGGACAAAAGAGTCTATCAGGCAGATTACCTCACTAGTGCTGACCAGCTGATTCCTGATTGCCTGGTTTAGGATTCCATTTCTAGGTGAGCCAAAACTGTAATCCAGTTTTGGTCTGCTGATGTGTGGCTTAACATAAATTACTCCATTTTGAGCTTATTTTATTGTTTTTGAACAAACACAAAGCATATGATGCAAGACAAAGGGAATTCAATTTGAAAATGATTTTAGTTTAGTATCTTTGAGATGTCTACAACTGATGTTCCCAAATGATATAAAGATGGAGACTCACTGCCCTCACTTCCTTCCTCTCCCATCCCTCACTCAATCCCAACCCCCACTCCTCCTCCAGACTCAGAGGTTTCAACAGAGCCACAGCTCCTCCTTGTGGTCAAAGCAGCACATTTCCCACATCAAAGGCCTCTTAGGAGCCCAGGGTCAGCAATCCAGACCTATCCCTCAGTCCACAGACTGGGGGCAGCAGTGATAGACATGAAACTCTAGGGAAGTGTGAAGAGGAAAGAAGCATCTGAAACAACACAAAGAGTTGGCAACAAACCACTCATCTGCACACCAAGGACATTCAGCTTTTGCTCAACAGAGATTGGTATGTCTAAATTCTTAGGAGCAAACCAGATATTATCACAGCCCTTGTGGAGCTAAGCCAGCTTGAATTATTCAACAAACACTCAGTGAGCCACAGCTCACAGCAGCCATAAAACATCAAGATGTTCACCCACAGAATTCTCTTGTGGTGGGGCAATTAACAAAGTCACAGATGACACTAGAGAATAAAATGTGTCCTATATGAAGTTTAAGAAATGTATCCAGTATTTCAGTGTTTAATGACTTCATATAGGTGACACTATTTCCTCAACTGTTGCAGCAGGAGAACTGACATGAAATGATCTCCAAAGCCCTGTCTATTTCTAAACTGTTAGAAACCAAACCACGCCCATCAGTTCTACAAAGAGCTTTCCCATTTGGGACCAGCTATGATGACCAACCATCAGACATTTCTACTTCACTGTGTAACTACCTGTTTATGCTTGTTTGTCCATTTAGTTATTGGAATTGCATCTCTTTTCTCAAAACATAGTGTTATGCCACTATTGAAAATTCTAGAAAACTTGGAGATATGAATAAACACAAAAATGAAATGATCTTTAATTGCCAATTGTTATCTACCTTTTATGTATTATTATTACATTAGATATTTAGTACCAAACTGGAATCTCTATAACTCTATGTTGGGGGTAGAGAGGGTAGCTACCCATGCTTTAGGTGAAGAGTGATAAATAAATTTTTTTTTAACTTCAGGGATGCACTGTATCAGGAGGAAAATATTAGCATGTTTCTAATGTAGTAAATGTTATCAGATTTTCAACAGGGTCCATAAAACAAAATAGTGTAACAGTGTATGGGTTAGAATTTAAGCAAAGAGGTAGGATATTCTATGCCTGAATGGATTATGTATGTGATGGGCCTCCAATCTATTACAGTTGGAGATATCCCATTCTTACATAAGAATATAAAATGGACCTTAGTTAAAGGGTAGCATTGTTACTATTAAAATTACTATGATGGACATCCACTGGTGCAAGAAGAGAACCTGATCGGCCTTTCAACAATAAAAAAGAAAATATGAGTAATAAATTTTATTGCATTGTTTGGCTCCCAAAAATTAAGGCAAAATTCCAAGCATTAAAAAAAAATTAATTTAAACTGAAACCTCAAACAGTGAGTGAAAATGAAAGGCTTGGTCACCCGGAGAACAAAAGCATTTCCCGCAGCAAGTGGTTGGTGAAATGAGAGTTTAAGTTATCTGAATTAGAAATGCGCCTGAAGAAGGAAAGTAATCTAAGGGCAGTCTGAATTGTAAGAATAGTGAAGAGGTGGAAGGTAAACATGTAAGTCGATTCATATAAACATTGTGTATATAAAATAGTAATAGCAAATGGTGCTTGAAGATAAAGAGAAAAGACATATCTGATTCCAAGACAACTGGGTTTTGGGGTACAGAGAACTGAAAAAGAGCCCCAAGAATACATGTAAGGAAATCTCCCATTTTTCTTGGCCAACTCCTAATGTGTATGCACAGGGTGGGACTCCAGAAGGTGAGCAGAGAACAGGGTCTGGAGGGCTGGAGAGCTGAGCGGAGATTTCAGCAGACACTCAGATGGAAGACACTGGCAGTCAGACCCAGTTAGAATGAGAGACGCTAGACATGGTGCCGTGATTCCCACTGATACCCCGAAAGGCTATGCCCTATAATAATGACCACATGCCAGGGACCCCTAAGAGGGAGGGCACAAACTGAAACAGATCCCAGCAAATCCCACATTCAAACCCGCCACAATCAACCTCACACTCTTTAGAAGAACACGACAGAATCCAGAGCCTCTGTGCTACACCATCCACAGTGCCCCACACAGACCCTTTTCTAACCTTTCATGGATAATACTTTAGTAGTCTAATTGTGATTCCACCCAAAATCTATCTCCCTATGATCCATACTGCTACCAGTGTTATTGTACGAAAATATGAATTTGATGATGTTATCTCACTTAAGGTAGGACCAATGGCTAGCTATTGCCTAAAGATTTGTGTACAAAGTCCCTTCCATGTGTCGTAATATCCTCCCTCATCTGGCTACTGCCTGTTCTCCAGGAGGCTTCAAAGATGATGCTCAGTCAGAATTGGAAAGAATCATGCTGGTCATCCTTCTTGAAGGCACTGAGTCTGCAGTGCACATGCCCCCTCCGCTGATGCTTCTCCCCATCCTTTCTTTCTAGTTCACTTATTGCCATGGACTTTCATGCTTTTCCAAAAAGTTTTCTATTAAGCAGTGAACTCATTGATAATCTGAATTTCCTTTTGTTCTTAGAAACTTTTTTCTTCCTGCATCGTCCTTTAGTCTTGTGCTCATCAAAAATTTTTAGTGAATAGTGTGTTTCCTATCCTAATGATGTGTACGGTATGTACCACTATGTACAGCAGAGAAAAGCAAGGAATGGCTTCTTCCATCAGTTAAGATCTTCGGTGCATGGGACAGGGCCCTTTCTTGTTTGTGGAGCCCCAAGTGCTTTAGTGAATTTATTGTGAACCCCTGCTCTCGCTGATAAGTAGAATTCTGTAAGGATTCTATATGCATAAAACTTAGAACTGCCCCATGGGGTGTACTTACAGGCTGTACTACAGACTGAAACTCCAGTCAGGGGTCTCACAGGAGTGAATGGAGCCTCAGGGCTAGGTGAACATGTGTTATGAGAGGTTTGGGGATGTGATCGGAGATGTAAAAGAAATGTTCCACTCCAAACAAATGGACTGAAGGTATATTTTATTATATAGAGGATAGTAAAGGCGATAGTCCAAAACAGATCCGAATAGGTCAAATAATAAGAGGAAAAAAACACCAGCTCGACTGGAAAGAGAAAACATCCATATCGGCTGATATAGCAGCAGACTTGAATTGGTCATATGATAAGAGGGAAAAACATCAGATCGATCGGAAAGGGAAACATTAGATTGACTGAAGGGAAATGACATAAATTAACCGGAAAGAGAAATACGAGGTTGACTGAAAAGAGAATATATTATATCACTTACTTTATAATAAATCAATTATTTTTAATATTTATGTCCCACTGTTGGGAGAGTCTTGTCAATTGACATGGCTGGGCGGAAATCATACGTCCTGGGCAAGGCGTCCCTTCCATAGGTGGAACTCTCTCCAGGCCTCGGTTTTTAGTAGTTTATATAAGCAGTTATAGAGTTTACAGAGCAAGCATTTAGTGTTTTTATGCACAAATGGTTATTAGTGGCATATGTGCAGTGAGTCCCCTGGCTATCGTCCCAGCCAGTAGTTGTGTACGTGCGTTGTTTACCCTGCTTATCGTCCCAGCCCCACACAGATGGCCAGTCTGTCCCAGGCTGCGGTGCCCAAAGGGCCTTGAAATTTTTAC